ACCGCCGGTTCGCGAACTGGGTTCGCGAACTGGTTCGTGAACCGCCCCCACCAAGTTCGCGCGGCGGTTCGCGAACTGGGTTCGCGAGAACTGGTTCGTGAACCGCCCCACCAAGTTCGCGCGATTATCAACTAATTCGAACCGCGAACGACTGCGAATCAAACTCGATGGAGACCTACTTGCCGGGGCTCATAGTCCTTCTCGTGCTTGCGCATGTACTCCAATGAAGGCGCGGTTCATGCGGAGAATCACCACCATCGAGTACTCCTCCGCGTTGAGACTGAGGCGGTGACGCGGTGCACCACCTGCTTGGCGCAGAAAGACTCGGCCATGAGGGCGCCGAAAGACTCGCCATCGCCGGGAGGAAGCCAAACCGTGGCTGCTTCTCAAGGTCGCGTAAATCCGTCCCATGTCCAGGTGAAGCTGGTCGATGAGGTCCTCTTGAGGATCGAAGTCGTACTTGTCGTTCTCCTGTGAACAAGCGCGATACGGATTCGAAAGTAAAATCCGTAAGTTATTCGGCGTCGGTCCCACCTCTTTCTCATCACCATCCCACCTCACCATCACCATCCCTTCCCACCCATCACCATCCCTTCCCACCCATCACCATCCCTTCCCACCTTCACCTTCCCTTCCCACCTCACCATCATTATCCCACCTCACCATCTTATCCCAGACCCCACCGCACTAGCTACATAGATCGTCAGCAGTAGGCGTGCTCAGAGCCCGGATTCATCGGCGCCATCACCCCGCTTACTTCTCCCCCGTACCGTCACACCGGGGACGGAGATGACTCGCGACTGTGCTCTCCGCCCGGTGGAAGCAGCCGATGGAGGGGAGGGGAGGAGGAAGTCGACGCGCGCAACGCCGCGGGCCGACTACGCGATGGCGGAGGGAAGGTTCCAGCGCAAGCCGCCCACCCGCAGATGTTGCTGCACGCGCCGCGGCCGCTCAAGCCCTCTACGAGTGCACCCCCAACCTGCAACTGCAAGAAGCTGCCCAGGGGCTGCTATCACCGCAGCAGCTCAGCGCCTGGCGGCTTACCCAACGAGCTTACTGCATACTGGAGCTCTGATGGACGGCCCTGACTATCACTGACACACAGAGAGTCCCTCTGACGGCACACAACACCCTATAACTGCGTCATGACCCCAGCCTGCCATGCGTCGCCGGTGCCGCATTCATCGCAGTGCTTCTTTAGCAGGCGGTGGACTGTCGGCTGCGAGGACGGTCGCATTTGGTGGGGCGAGGAGAGCATTGCTGCGCGTTGCATGCGCCATGCCTCGCGCCAGCGCGTGCGGGAGCCAGATAAGCCTCTCTCAGGATCACAGACACCCCTCTCAGGATCACAGCACCGGCGGGGGCGCGCCTCAGGATCAAGCACCCACGGCAGGGTCTGTGGGCATCAGCAGACCTGGATGGAGGGGGCACGCTGAGGATCATAGGCCTGAGAGGGGTGCTGTCAAGATCACAGGGCTGCAAAGGGTGGCACTCGAGATCAGAGCGCCAAAATAGGTGCAAGACAGGGTTGCCAGGTGAGAGCGAATGGCGCGGTTCACGCCTCGCACAACAGAGAGAGAGATGCGCTTTTGTTGTTTGCTCGCGTCACCGTCGAGGATGACCCCGTAGATGGCGGGATGGATGTCGCTGCCCAGCTCCTCGAGCAGCTTAAGCAGCCCCGCCTCGCCCTCCATGACCATATAATTATAAACGATCACGTCCGACAGCATCGCCTTGAAGCCATTCGTCGACACGGAGGAGAGCTCGTACTTGGGGATGTCGCTCATCTTGTGCCTCGCGGAGCGAAGTCCGCCCCGCGCCGGGGCCGGCCACCGTGGAGCGAGGTCCGGCCCGTCCTCGAGGTCGAATTCGGACGCGGAGCCGGACTCTCCGCCCTCCTCGTCGTCGGGGTCGCCGCTGTCGTCCGAGGACAAAACTCTCAAAACCACCTTAAATGATTTCACACCTCACACCCTTTCAGCTGTCTGTGGATATTTCGTTAGCGAATTCACACAAAACAGACACCTTGTTATATTGAGCGAGAAGAAATCTTCACACCGCCGATACACGTGCGCGCGTCCCCACCGCCCCGCGCGATGCCTCAGAGGCACGGTGGGCGGCTGGCACCCCCAGGCCGTTCCGTGGCAGCCGGTGAGCCGGTGCTCTGCTCCCTCCGCGTCGCAGATGACGGCCCGGCGAGACCTTGCGTCCATTTCGGATTCGGATTCGCGCACAGCCACGGACTTGGAGCACTTGGAGTGCAATCATTAACCTACCGTTCAGGACCGGGGAGCTAAGAAAAGCGCACCCAGTTGGCCAGACGCTCGGCATCGGGTTACGGACTAGAGAGCCCTAGCCCGGTCACCCCACTTTTTCGGAGCGGAAGTTCGGGAGAGAGAGAGAGAGAGAGAGAGAGAGAGAGAGAGAGAGAGAGAGAGAGAGAGAGAGAGAGAGAGAGAGAGAGAGAGAGAGAGAGAGAGAGAGAGAGAGAGAGAGAGAGAGAGATGAGAGTGCGCTCGGCGTGTGTGCCGTGTGCGGCGGCCGCCATACTCAGTCACTCTCAGCGGCGAGACCACAACACCGCGCGGACGCACCCGCCCCTCCCTCGACGCGAGCGCGACCGAGGTGCGAGGACCGAGCCCGCCTCTCTCGTCTCTCGTCTCTCTCGTCTACAGACACTATAGAGGTAGAGCCCTCCCCTTGGAGCCTTGGCAGCGATACCCGCATCGGTTTCCGTAGCACCCACAGACGGCGCCTCATATTGCGGCAGGCAGCCAGGGCGGAATCATGCTTGATTGTCGTCGTCGGCGGCATACATGCCAGCGGCGGGTCTCGTCGTCGCCCGATCCGATGCAAAAAGCCTCGACAACGTGGAAAATTTTCTTATTTTTTTCATAGCCGCCGTCCACACTTCCCGCGACGTATTGTACCCTCCCGCACTGAGCGATGGTGCGCAACCCGATTTGCCTATCAGGGCGAGCCGATGGTGAAAACAAAGCGATGCCGCAGAGGTCCCGACGGGCCGGACGGCGAGCCGGCCCCAAAACGAGCCCGCACCGACGGGCTCGCGGCGGTGTCTCTCCTACTCGGAGCCAACACGACGGAGAAGCTCACGGCGGCGCTTTCGGCGGCGGTACCCGCAGGGGAGGAGTGGGAGCAGGCACGTGCGCGGCAGGAGTTTCTGATGCTTGAACTGGAGCGCCTTACCAGCCGCTGCCTCCCCACCAGCGCCGGGCAGAGGTGGCATGCCTGGACGGGCACCGCTGGCGAGCGCCGGCTCATTCTGCTCATGCACGCGCGCCTCGCCCAGTCGGTCGCAACTTGCCAGATCAAGGCGCACGCGCTGTGGTTCAGCAACAGGGCGATGGTGGAGCGACTCGGTCGCGTGCTGATTGTCACTGCACGCGCCATCGGCGCGGAGGCGGCGTGCGCCGGGCTGGCGACGCTGTGCGGACCGGGCAAGGGCGCCTGCCTGACTCCGAGCAAGGCGGCTCGGTACGCTGCGTGCTTCCTAGCGCTGCACGCGGGGCACGAGGTGGAGCGCGGGGCGGCCAGGGGCGGGGCCGAGGCCGCGGCGGCGGGCGCGGCGGCGCTGTCCTGGCGTATACTGTACGTCGACAAGTGCGGCATCGGCGAAGGTGCGGTGGGAACACCGCAGCAGCTTTTCGCCTACATCCGCGCCGTCGTCGAGCACATCGCTCGCTGCGTCGACGAGGAGGAGAGGGAGGGCAGCGCCGTGACGGGGGTCGAGGTTGCGTCGGCGGCGCTGCCCGCGCTCCAGCGCCGCGCCGTGACGCACGCCGACTTTGACGCCGTCCAGGCCGGAGGGGGTGGCGCGGACGAGCTGGTGCGGCTTGCGCGGCGGGTGCCTCACGGACGCTACGCCGGGCTCGCGTCGGCCCTCTCTCGCCCGGCGCCGCTCAATCTCGTCAGAGCAGCACCCACAGAGGGCGCCCAATGACTAAGTAGGCCGTCCAGCAAGCGCTGCAGCGGCTGCTGCTGCCTCCCGAGGCGGCGGCGCGGATGCTCGCGCAGATCCCCCCTCCGTTTGCGGGGCCTGCGGCGCGGCACGTCGACGAGCGGCTGGCGGTCGCGGCGGGCTCGCTTGCGCTGTCCGAGTGCGAGGACGTGCTGCGCTTCGCAGAGGAGCCCCAGTGTGCCTTGCCCCAGGGCCTGTCTGCAGAGGCGGGGTCGCTCGTCCGCGCGCTGCGAGCGCTCGCGCTCGAGGCTGGGCGTGGGCCCGCTGCGCGGGCTGCGGCCGACTCGGCGGTGACCCCCACCGGGGTGCTGTGCAGCAGGGCGCTGGCCGCGTGCCGCACGGTGCTGCTGACGCGGCAGCTCGACGACGCTTGCTCCACAGTGCGGCTCTTTTTAGATGCGGCATAACCACACGCGCCACACTGCGCCACGACGCTGCCTGAGCTCCTGTGGGACTGCGCACAGCACACATACACATACACACACGTTCACACGACTCTCAGGCACACACGCGCGATGGACTCCGACACCCTCACCACACCAACAACAGCCCACACGGCGCCCGCCGCAACGCAGCACGAGTGACTAGCCTCGCCCGCGCAGCGCGAGCGACGCACCTCGCCCGCGCCACACACGCAGCCCCCTCCCGGGATCCCCTGAGCTGCACGCCCACGCCTTCCTGCTCTCGGGCTCCTCTCGGGCTCCTCTCGGGCTCCTCGGGCTCTTCTCGGGCTCTTCTCGGGCTCCTCTCCCCCCCCTCTCGCCCAACGCCCCCCCCCCCTCTCGGCTCGTCTCTCCACATCTCGAGGTCCGGTGCCGCTGTGACCGTGTGGTGCACCACACAGGAGGGCGGGCGTCCCCTGCTGCGACACGCCCCCGCGACACGCCCCCGCGACACGCCCGCGCGACACGCCCGCGCGACACGCACCGCGAGCACGCCGCCCCCACGCCCATCACAGCACCCGGGGCACGACCCGACACGACACCGCCCCCCCTCCTGAGCTCCTGCGGCCTGCGGCGGGACTGCGACACGTACACGTGACTCTCAGCACACGTACACACACACGTTCACACATTCTCAGGCACACACGCGCGTTGGACTCCGACACCCTCACCACACCAACAACAGCCCACACGGCGCCCGCCACGCAGCGCGGGTGACGCACCTCGCCCGCGCCACACACGCAGCCCCCTCTCGGGCTCCTCTCGGGCTGCACGCCCACACCTTCCTGCTCTCGGGCTCCTCTCGGGCTCCTCTCGGGCTCCTCTCGGGCTCCTCTCGGGCTCTTCTCGGGCTCTTCTCGAGCTCCTCTCCCCCCCCTCTCGCCCAACGCCCCCCCCCTCTCGGCTCGTCTCTCCACATCTCGAGGTCCGGTGCCGCTGTGACCGTGTGGTGCACCACACAGAAGGGCGGGCGTCCCCTGCTGCGACACGCCCCCGCGACACGCCCCCGCGACACGCCCGCGCGACACGCCCGCGCGACACGCACGCCCCCACGCCCATCACAGCACCCGGGGCACGACCCGACACGACAACGCCCCCCCTCCTGAGCTCCTGCGGCCTGCGGCGGGACTGCGACACGTACACGTGACTCTCAGCACACGTACACATACACGTTCACACATTCTCAGGCACACACGCGCGTTGGACTCCGACACCCTCACCACACCAACAACAGCCCACACGGCGCCCGCCACGCAGCGCGAGTGACGCACCTCGCCCGCGCCACACACGCAGCCCCCTCTCGGGATCCCCTGAGCTGCACGCCCACGCCCTCCTGCTCTCGGGCTCCTCTCGGGCTCCTCTCGGGCTCCTCGGGCTCTTCTCGGGCTCCTCCCCCCCCTCTCGCCCAACGCCCCCCCCCTCTCGGCTCGTCTCTCCACATCTCGAGGTCCGGTGCCGCTGTGACCGTGTGGTGCACCACACAGAAGGGCGGGCGTCCCCTGCTGCGACACGCCCCCGCGACACGCCCCCGCGACACGCCCGCGCGACACGCCCGCGCGACACGCACCGCGAGCACGCCGCCCCCACGCCCATCACAGCACCCGGGGCACGACCCGACACGACACCGCCCCCCCTCCTGAGCTCCTGCGGCCTGCGGCGGGACTGCGACACGTACACGTGACTCTCAGCACACGTACACATACACGTTCACACATTCTCAGGCACACACGCGCGTTGGACTCCGACACCCTCACCACACCAACAACAGCCCACACGGCGCCCGCCACGCAGCGCGAGTGACGCACCTCGCCCGCGCCACACACGCAGCCCCCTCTCGGGATCCCCTGAGCTGCACGCCCACGCCCTCCTGCTCTCGGGCTCCTCTCGGGCTCCTCTCGGGCTCCTCTCGGGCTCCTCTCGGGCTCCTCGGGCTCTTCTCGGGCTCCTCCCCCCCCTCTCGCCCAACGCCCCCCCCCTCTCGGCTCGTCTCTCCACATCTCGAGGTCCGGTGCCGCTGTGACCGTGTGGTGCACCACACAGAAGGGCGGGCGTCCCCTGCTGCGACACGCCCCCGCGACACGCCCCCGCGACACGCCCGCGCGACACGCCCGCGCGACACGCACCGCGAGCACGCCGCCCCCACGCCCATCACAGCACCCGGGGCACGACCCGACACGACACCGCCCCCCCTCCTGAGCTCCTGCGGCCTGCGGCGGGACTGCGCAGCACCCACACATGTACACGTGACTCTCAGCACACGTACACATACACGTTCACACATTCTCAGGCACACACGCGCGTTGGACTCCGACGCACTCACCACACCGACAACAGCCCACACGGCGCCCGCCATGCAGCGCGAGTGACGAACCTCGCCCGCGCCACACACGCAGCCCCCTCTCGGGCTCCTCTCGGGCTGCACGCCCACGCCCTCCTGCTCTCGGGCTCCTCTCGGGCTCCTCTCGGGCTCCTCTCGGGCTCCTCGGGCTCTTCTCGGGCGCCTCTCGGCTCCTCTCGCCCAACCCCCCCCCCCCCTCCTTCCCCTCCCCTCCCCTCGGACCCCATCGGCTCCTCTCGGCCCCTGGGGCCTTGCTCGTCCTCCCTGCTCCGCTTCGCTCCTCTCGACTCCTCTCGCTCCTCGCCTCGGCTCCCTCTCGGTGCGTCTCCGCTCGTCCGGCTCCTCCCGACTCCCCTCTCCTCCCCTCGGCTCCCCTCCGGCCCTCTCCGCCCCTCCCTGCGCGTCTCGGCCCCTCTCTGCTGTCCCTGCCCGGCCCCTGCTCGGCCACCTCTCTATGGTCTCTCGGCTCACTCGGCTCTCTGCTCCTCTCTGCACATCCCTCCTCCCGTCGGCTCCCCACGGCTCCCCACGGCAGCACGGGGCCCCTCTCGGCTCCTCCCCGGCTCCTCTCGGCTCGTCTCTCCACATCTCGAGGTCCGGTGCCGCTGTGACCGTGTGGTGCACCACACAGAAGGGCGGGCGTCCCCTGCTGCGACACGCCCCCGCGACACGCCCCCGCGACACGCCCGCGCGACACGCCCGCGCGACACGCACCGCGAGCACGCCGCCCCCACGCCCATCGCAGCACAGTGGCGCCCCGGGGCACGACCCCGCACGACCCGACCCGACACGCCCCCTTGACCCCCGACCCCTCACAGGCCGCCTCCCTCCTCCCGCTGCTCCTTTCGCTTCCCCGCGGCCTCCACTCGAGCCACGCGTCCGCCGGCCGCTGCGGCCCGGCCAACCCCCACCGGCTGAGCGAGTGCACCCTCGCGAAGTACCTCGTGAACCTGCGAGAGTCGCTCGACGTGGTTCAGCTGGTTCGCTTTGACCGGGCCGGACACGGCCCGCTTCTCGACCGCCTCGGCCGCCGCTCTCGGCCGGTCCGGGCGGCCGCCGGGCAGCTTCGCGCCGCCGCCGCCTCCGCGTGGGCGGACGAGGTGTTGGCGCGGCAGAGGCGGGCGTCGGCGGAAGCCGAGGCGGAGGCGAGGCGGGCGGCCGAGGAGGAGGGGCGTGGGATCGTGGAGGCCGTGGCGACGGCGAGCCTCTCGTCGGAGGCGGAGGAGGGGGAGGGGCGGCAGCGCAAAGCGGCGGCGCTATGCGGCCACGCCATCCGCTGCGTGTCTCTGCAGGAGGCGGCGGGGGCGAGGGCGAGGGCGGTGGAGGCGGCCCCGCCGGCGGCTGGGGCGGCGCGTGGGTGGGCGGTGGCAGCGGCGGCCGCGGGGGACGCGGCCGAGGGGGACGCCTCCGCGGGCGACGCCGTCGCCTCGCCGCCAGAGGGGTCGACGCCGGAGGGAGCGACGCCGGAGGGAGCGACGCTGGAGGGGTCGGGTGGCGATCAGGACGCCGCCGGCTTGGAGGGGTACGGCGCGGCGTGCGGGCCGCCGGCCGAGGTTGCCGAGGCGGCGAAGCTGGCCGAGGCGGCGCGGCTCGCGGCCGACAGAGCGGCTGCCTTCGCGCGGGCTGCGGATTTGCTCGCCCGCCGGATAGTGGCGGGATGCGCCCCCACAGCCGCGGCGACCGTGTACTCGCCGGAGCGATCGGCCCGCGCCGCCCGCGCCGTCGCGGCGGCCGAGGCAGAGGTTGCGGAGGCGGAGCGGCGCGTGCGCGTCGCCTGGTCGCGACTGGGGGCGGCGGCGTCGGAGGGCGCGAGGGTGGCGGAGGGGCTCGCAAAGGATGATGCGGTGGCAAGCCTGGAGGCGGCGACGGAGCACCGGGACTTCTTCGCGGACGTGCTGCGGGCCTGCGGCGGCGCGCCGCCGCGCGAGGTGGGCGGCGCCGCGGCGATGGAGCCGGGCGGCGCGCTGGCCCGGCTCGCGGCGCGCGGGGAGGGGGCGGAGGGCGCGGGCGGGGAGGCGGGAGGAGGAGGAGGCGAGCCTGGCGGCGGGCGGCGGCGGGAGGCGAGCGTGATGAGCGTTCGATGAGCGTGACATGATTGCGTGTTTAGGTGGGAGCGTGACACGATTGCGGCGGGTGGAGCGTGACACGTTTGTGACTGCGGCGGTGTCGATCTAGGTGGCGGGCCGAGGCGAGGAGACGAGAGGGCGCGGCAGTGCGTGAGCTACCTGTGGTGTGACTCTAGGCGTCACCGCGGCGAAGCTCGCGAGGCGCGCCCTCGAGGCGCCCACGCCAGCCGGCCAGCTGGCGGCGCTCGCGACGCCCGACGTGCGGCGGCTCGCGCCTACTGAGCACGCTATCACCCGCTCGCTGTTGTGGGATACGCTGGCACGCGCTGCAGACGCGGCGCCAGGCGACGCGGCAGTCGCGTTGCTCGTGCAGACGGGCACCGGCGACGTTGCCGCCGTCGATGCAGGCATGCCTCGCGACGCCGCCGCCGGGCTGGCGGCCGCCATCGCGCTGTCCAGCGACACGCTCGCCGCCGCAGCGCTCGGCGGGCTGCACGACCGCATCGAGACCGCGCTCGAGGGGCGCCCGGGGGTGCAGCAGCGGGCCTGGCAGCTGTACCTACGCGAGCCGCTCGAGGAGGCGTCATGTCTAAGCGCGAAAGAGGCGTGCAAACTGCTTGAGCTCGCCTCGGAGCTACGCCCCGTACCCGTACCCGTACCACCGTGGTTCGGCGCCGCCGCACAGTGTGTCGCCGCTGCGATTGAGCAGCTCGTCCCGATGACGCGTCTGGCTGCAGCCCTGCGCACCGAGCTTCTCATCGCGATCGCCGAGACAGCGTGCCGAGCTGCCGGTCCAGTCGAGCGAGCCATGGTGCTGGGGAGCGACCTGGTGCGCGGCCTGGCGCGACCAGACTGCGTGGACAGACTCATTCGCGGCGGATGCAAGTCGACACAGGCTGCTTTTGACTTGCGGGCCCTCTCGCACCGCCGCATCGAGCGGATGCAAGCCCGAGCGTTGTCGCAGGAGCTCGACGCCGTGGGCAGCGGCTTCGCTGCGGCCGTGTGGAGCGTGCCGGAGGATGGCTTGGCCCCTGCGCTGCGGTGCATCGAGCGCGTGGCGGCGGAGGATGCGACACTCACCTCTGGTGACGTCGCTCCGCTGCACCCGCTGCTCGAGGCTCTCGCACGCGGCGCGCAGCGAGTGAGCGCCGCGGTTGCACAGAGGCGGCTGAACGAGCCGACCGAAGCGATGGCGCTTGCGGCGGAGCTGGCGGCGGAGCTGCTGCCGGGGCTCGTCGCGCTGCTCGACGAGCGATTGGGGCTGATGAAGCTGCGGCAACAGCTGCCAGCGTCGCCGCCGCCGCCACTGCTGCCGGCGGGGCCTCCTCCAGGGTTCCGCGGCAGCTGGTGGGATCACTTGCACGTGCTTCCCTGCGGGGCCACGCCGACGACCGCCGAAGCCAAGAGGAGCCGTCTCGAGAAGCTCAAGCGTCGATCTGAGGAAATTGTTCTGCGCAGTGCCGCCACTTCGACCTGTGGCCACGGACCTTTCGCCCTCATCGGAGCAATCGTTTGGTACGAAGAGGAGGATGAGCACGGCAACTTCTGGCTGGTCGGGGTCTGCGCGTCAAAAGGCCCGCGGCACCACCACGCGTTGCACCACCACGCCGAGCGCAATGCGCTCCGCTTGGCGCGCGAGTACATTGAAGGCGCTCGAGCGGCACGGCGCACGGCGCGCCCGCTGCTCGCCGTCACCTCGCTGGCCCCTTGCAAGTGGTGCGGCTCCTGTGTGGATCGCGCACCGCTCTTGCATTGCATTTGAACGCCCATCCTTGAGCGTTCTGTCTCGTAGGTGCCACGGCGCATTCGCCCGCGCTGGGTTCTGCGAGGAGATGGGCTCTGTGCACGTGTGCTGCGCGCCCTCGAGCGGCTGGCCACGGATCAGCTACCGCAACACGCCCTTCCTCCTCGGCGACAGCTGCTATAGCTGCGCGGGCGAGCAGGCGCAGGAGCTCGCCTGCAAAGTGCTCGACGGCTCCCGAACTCTAACCGCCGGCGGTGAGTGGGAGGAGGACATGAGCATCTCCCGGCTGCCCTTCGAGCCGGCCAGGCCGATGCCGGCTGGGGCGGCGCTCGAGCTCGCCGAGGCCAGTGCCGCGCGGCCCCGCAACGAATGGACAGACGACAAGTGGGCGCGCATCGGCCACACTTCCGCAGCGTGGACGATGTACACCAGCGTCGACGACGCGCAGCTGCAGGGGTTACTCAAGTCGATCCAGACGAGCGATGGCGAGGGCCAGCCGCCGCCGCTCCCCGCCGACAACTGGAACATTCTTCACGCCAGGCCGCTGCTGCTAAAGGAGTGGGCGGATGCTGTCGTCGCGGGCTGCGGCGTCACGCCCCTCGCGAGCGGCTCTGCAAAGAACAGCTCCGCAGGCGGCTTCCACGAGCATGCCGAGGAGCTCGCGGTCAAGGCGGCGATGGCGACCGGCGGAAACTTCCTCACTGTCTTTGTCACGCGAGAGTCGTGCACCGAGACAATGGCCGACGGCATCACCCGCCGTAGCAAGCCGTGGCACGCGTGCGGGGGGAAGACGTGCGTGCCATGCGACACGCTGCTGCTGAACCTTGCCGCCGAGGGAAGGACCAGCGTGCTGCTGGTCGACTCCCTCCTCTCGAGCGGCGGGATCGGCGGGAGGGTCCGCCTCGCGACGGTCGGCGACACCGCATGGACGTCGCTCGGCCAGACGGCAGCCCTGCGCCTCGGCACGGCCCCGTCGCCGGTCGAGCGCGATGCCCCGCGTCCCCGCGAGACAACCGAGGAGGCGCTCGCGCTGCAACGCGACCTGCGCGCGATGCGGGAGGCAGGGCCGCTGCCCATGCCCGCAGTGCTGCATGAGCGGACCGGAGGTGTATTCCTGTACCGCGACGGTGAAGGGTTCCCATATTCGC